AGGAAGAGGTCTGAACGTAGATGGTCCTGTGGTAGGTTTGGAGACTTAAAGGTACCAATGAGAAATCTGGCTCATCAATTCTTCTTCATGATTACAACATGGTTGCCACGGCTCCAGACATCATATACTCATGTGATAGAATGGAAGGCAAGAAGACAAAAATAACTTTCTCCTCATGTTTCTCTTTCTTATCTGGAAGAAAGATATGTCCAGCAAACTTTACCTTACATTTCTTTGGTCAAAAGTGACTATGTCTATCCTTAATCCTGGCAAAGGAGAATGGGATTGCCTGGTTGCCTACGAACTTTTTCTGTTAAGGGCCAGATAGTAAATAATTTAGTCTTTGCTAACGAAAGGCTCTCTGTTACAACTACTCAATACTACTGTTGTAACATGAAAGCAGCCATAGATAAGAGGTAAACAATAGGATGCCTGTGTTCCAATAAAATTTCATTTACTAAGAGTCGGCAGCTGGATTTGACCAATCCCTGCCTTAGAGCAATCATGATTCAATACTGTCACTGAATGCACGGCTGCACAGGTTACCGTGGCTCCATCAGCGAGGAAGAAAGGAGAGTGGCTGCTGGCAGGGTATCCCACAGCACTCCCGGGAAAGAGGAGAGATGGAAGTCGTGAAGAGCAGATCTGGAACTGACAGGGAGCTGGAGGCTGCACTTACATAAAGACCCAAAATAAGCACACGGTCTGAGGGCTTCCTGGTGTCTATACTAATGGCTCAAACTGCTTTGGAAGAGCCAAGGATTCCCCAGAGGCACCAGGAGTGTGTACCTCAGGGATCCCATGGAGGGAGCCAGTCCTAGGTCTCCGCATCCATGACTTTGGCCAGAGACCTTTTACTTTTATCTGCTCTACATATTGTGTTTCTGTTTTAGGGTCCTTTGTAGGAGGAAGCAGAGGAAAATCTCTAGTAATAAAAAAAAAAAAAAAAAAAAAAAAAATAGAAATGACTGGCCTAGAAGATAAAGATTCAATCTGTTCATCAAACATCCTTTTCTAATTATAGCTCCCATGATTTCACTAGATAAACTCTGCCCCCAAGAGACGCTCTCTTCAAGTAGGTCAAGTATTTCTCATGTTATTCTACTCTGGTACTTCTTCTTCAGCCTTGCACCCCGGCTTATCTGCATGGCCATGACTCCCCTCTTAATTCTACTCAAGTAGAAAGTTTTCCCAACATACAAGGTTAACATCCCTATTTTATACTTACTATGTGCAAGTCACCAAGTTACATGAAAGGAAATACAAAGAAGTGAAAGTCTCTCTCTCTCTTCCCATTTCATAATCTAGTTGTATCGAAAGCATATAAATGAAAGTTGGATATAAAGTGATGAGCATGATTAGAAAATGACTGTATTTTTAAAAAGAACATATACTTCCAGGTGAGTCTTACCCAGCCAAGATTCCTTCGAATAATGTGTTCTTAGTAAGGCTGCCATGATTTACCTTTTGGGGGAATTTTTTTCTTTGGACTTACATTTAAAACAAGTTTTTAAACCACTGAAGAAAAACTAGTATCATTCTGATAGAATGCACCCTATTTCCTTTTACCAAAAAATGGTTTCTCTTAGCTAGATCACTACTTTTGACTGAACTCCAAATGACTTCTGGATAGTTACAAATATCATGACCATCTTCAATAGAGCAGTTGCCAGCATGGACCAGATGTGCCCCAGGTTCCTCAGAAGGTGTCTTCACTGTCCACGGTGATGCTCTCTCTGCACAGGACCACTCCCCTGGGAGCTCCTCCAGCTGGCACAGTCAGGAAGGTTCTCAGACAGGGCAGTTAGACTTGGGCCTTCACACCAGGTGACCGGAAAAAAAGATTCCCAGATGAAGAAGCACTTTAGTTCCACACCTAGACTCCAAAGCCAGGATTACAATCCTGGGTTTGCATTTACAAGCTACAAACCTTGCACTATGTACTTAACCTCAGTGGATCTCAGCCTCCTCATCTGCAAAATGGCAATAATAAGATTCTCTCTCAAGGCTGTTTGAGGACTAAATGAGTTAATCCATGTGAAACACCAAGTGCGACGTGAATAATGTATTTGCTGCTGTCCGTGTTATTGTCACCTAAGGATGAAGTCTCACTGACAATCTTCTCTGAATCGCCTTAATTCTCAGATATTAAAGAGCTGGTTCTAATCAAAATTTAAAATTTGACCATCTCATGTAGCAGTGACAGCTGGAGGCGGGCTTAGGCATGGGAATTTGCAGTTGAGAGAACACGATCTGTGTTGGTTCCTTCTTGGATCCTCAGCCTTCTCCTGTCACTGGTTGGTGGTACAGGTCTCTCAGGACCCGAAGTACAAAACTCTTCGAGGGCTCACTTGTAATTAGGGATTGGTGGCAAATGTACAAATGCTGATGCCTACTCTTGGGGGAAAGAACGTCTGAGGTTTTTTCCATGCCCCTCCCCCACAGCTAGAGGTCGGTCCAAGGCAGCCTGTGCTGGCTGGCCACACCCTGTTCCTCCAGGGGTCCTATTTGTGCTGCTCACTTTGACCTGCCCCTGCCAGGGGAAGTAGGTCCACTCTGTCAACAGGAAGAGTGAGTGCATGTTTACCTTGCCAACTCTTGGAAGTAGAGGCTGTTCCAGATACCTCCTTCTCCCACCACAGCAAACAGGTTTCTCTGCCCTCAGGTCGCATGGATCCCTATGTCCCACAAATCTAGGAGACACCCGGCTGTTCTCTAGAGCCCTCCTCACTTATCTCAAAGTAGATGAAAAAGCACAACATGTAAAAAGTTCACTGCTGGCTTCTCCTAGATCCTTAGATTCTTTCCAATCATACAGCCTGAGGTGAGGTATTGAAGGGGGTTTGGGCAGCTGTGGGGGACATAGTCACAACCAAGGAGAAAAAAACGAAGGAAGAAAAAAAGCATGCCCTGAGCAAGAGAAATGTGGGCCCTGCAATGCCTCACACACTAAATGAGGACGCCCGGCGCCTGCCGCGGTGTCAAATGAGGTCAGAGGAGCTTATCTCTCCGTGTGCCTGGAATTAAGGGCATCCTGGGACAGCTGCAGAGCGGAGGCTTCCGTGTCCTCCTCTCCTTAAGCCGGCCAGGATCCCAGGACACCGGTGCAGGGAACGATTCCACCTCGGAAAGGGGCGCTTCTCTGGCAAGAAGGCTCTCAAGACACAAAGAATAATTGTCGGATTGCTTGTGTGTCTCTTTAAGAATCCATTCTCAGCATAGGGTCCCTAAAACAAAACAAACAAAACACTCCTGCAAATCTCAACTGACCTGGCTTCAATTACAGGCCCAAGTCCTGATTCTGAGTTGGGGACAAAGGGAGATGCCATCGGAGCCATGAAGAGCAGGGGGTCCCCTCGAAATCGGAAGGTTGCGGACCGGCTGCCTGGGGGAGCCCAAGGCCTGGGCGTGTTTGCATTCATGAAAACTTTTGCAGGAGGTCGCGGCGGGCGCAGGCATCTACCAGACAGTGCAGCTGGCTGGGACCCCGGCCGGGCACAAACAGCGCGGCACTGCCACCTTCTGGGCGGCAGCGGCGGCGCAGGCAGCGGGGCGGGCGGCGGAGGGTCGGGTGCCTCTGGATTCCGCTGAGCCAGAGCCTAGAGGGGGCGGGGTGGAGGGGGCGAAGTCCGGGGGCGGGGCGCACCGGCGCCGGTCACGTGGGTTAGCAACAGGCAGAGCCAATGGGAGCGCGAGTCCAGTGGTCCGTGCGCGCCGCCCTCAGAGTGGCGGGCTGGGAGCGGAGGCAGCCTCTCACCCGCTAAGTGGGGCGGGAAGGGAAGGGAGGGTGCCTTCCAGCCGGGAGCCCCTCGCGCGGAGGGGGAGCCAAGCACTGAAAATAGCAGCGTTTTAACATAGGACTTTCCCTCGCACACTCCAAGGCAGCGACCCAGGGCGGCGGGTGGAAGCGGAGGACGAGCAGGCAGGGGGCCCCCCTTTCCCTCCCCACCACCCAGCCCATCGGTCTCCCCTCCCTTCCCCCTGCACCAGCCACTTGTTGCGTTGCCAGCGCCTTAGGGCTGGCACTGCCACTTGGACCCAATAAGGGGGTTGAAACAAAAAGAATAACGAGGGTCCTGGCCGTGGCTGATCGTGCAGGTAGCTAAGACCGTAGCTCCTCCTCCCAGACAGAGTCAAGACTTGGCCCCCAGAGGCCAAAGCAGCTGGAAGTCAGGAATGGAGTCAAAGGGAAAAAATCAGCTTGGTAGTTGGTTTTAATTATTGTAAATGGAAAAGCCACATCCAGAAGTGCATCTGATGACTTCTGCGGTGATGCCACTGGGTGACATACACCAGCCGGCTCCTGAGAGCAGGGGAGGGCGACCCAACACTCAGTGTCAGGGCTGACCCCCCGAGGCAACTTGGTCTCCATCAGACCCTCCCTCTCCGGTCTCATGGGCAGGCACATATTTCCCCCTGTTAATAGGGTGTGTGTGTGTGTGTGTGTGTGTGTGTGTGTGTGTGTGGTGGTGATGGTGGTGGTGGTGGTGTGGTGGTGGTGGCCTTATAATGCGCTTTTGTTGTGTAAGAGTCCACCCTGTGCTTTCTTTCTCTAAAACGAACCTGAAGAACAGGTGTCTTCAGAAGGGCATCCAATGCACTGCCCTGCTTGGGGCTTTTTGAAAGACTACAACAAGATACCGGGGTAAAGTGAGACAGGAGCATTCCAACCTGCGGGCCGGGCCCATCCTACTCTTAAAGTTCCCTAGGGAAAGGTGTTGTACAGTGCTCTGTGGTAATCTACAGCAAATGCTAACCACTCTAGGGAAGATGTGATAGAAGGTTTCTGACCCCAGGGCTTATTTGTTCCTGTTTGAGCTCATTCAGGGTCAGACCACCACAGAGGGGAGCTGAACATCTGCCCAGCAGCTCATGGGCAGGTTTTGCACTTCTCTATGTCAGGGAACAGAGGCCAGCAGTGCCAGTTGCCACTGGGACTTTGACTGGTACCCAGGCACCGTGGGGATTGGCCAGGGCAAGGCGGCTTTGAGTAGTGACCCGCTCTGTACCATGTTTTCTTCCTTCCTTCCAGCAATGCCAGCTGAGTTCTTGGGTTCAGTCAGTGAACAGGCCTGTGCACATACCCTGTGTGAAAACAAATCTATATCTGGTAATTATGTTTATGCTAATTTGACAAATACTGGATTTTTAAACATAAACTCTTGACCAGCAAAGGGTTTTGACCAGCAAAGGGTTTTGAAGATGTAAGGAAGATTCAACAAATAGTTACAGAGCTTTAACTAGATGCACACCTTTGTTTGGGTCCTGGAGATACAGCTTTGCAGCGAGGCACTTGCATAAAGAAGTGGACTCATGAGCAAAGAAAGGGAGAATGGATCAACCTGTTTTCCTTGCAGGAGTAAGTCATCATTAGTTGATTGTTGCTTTCTCTTTTTCTGCTCCCCTCAATCTCCTATCTTTTGGTTCCTCATTCTTTTGGGGGACTTATCTGATCATGGAGCAATAAGGTAACTCACATATTTTTTAATATATTTTTATTGATTTTTTACAGAGAGGAAGAGAGAGGGATAGAGAGTTAGAAACATCGATGAGAGAAAATCATCGATCAGCTGCCTCTTGCACACCCCCTACTGGAGATGTGCCCCCAACCAAGGTACATGCCCTTGACAGGAATCAAACCCGGGACCTTTCAGTCCAAAGGCTGACGCCCTATACACTGAGCCAAACTGGTTTCGGCAACTCACTCACATATTTTTAATGTGAAATAATGCGAAGAGATGGGAAAAGTCACAGGCTATGAATAAAAATATATATACTTGGTGCCAATCCTGGTTCTGCCACTTGATGAAATCCATAATTTTCTACAAATAACTTAAGATTTGAATCTTGGTTTCTACATCCCTAAAATGGGATTGTTCTTGCTTTTCAATCACACAAGGGCGTGATTCAAGGGCACCATATTCTCATCTGTAAATTAAGGTGTTTGAACTAGGTTTAGGGTTTGCAAACTTTCTATAGAAGTAGATTCATCTTTTAAAATAAAATGTAACGTGAAACCCCAACTTATAAAACAGATGAAGACTGGCTTGCTCCTGTGGCCCTGAGGGAGAAGGCTCCAGGTCCCACACACTCTCTTCCCCTAGCTAGAGAAGGCCCTTTGTGCCGTAGGGTTCCACTGAACACAATGTGAAACTCACTGTGCTGGATGATTCTTTTATAACGTACCTTCCAGTTCTAAAATTCTGTAAATCATAATTTTCTAACATTGTGTTTTCTATGATGAGATTTAACCCCTATTTTTTTCTTCATTTATTAATATGTTGCGGGAGATAGTTACCAGCTTTACTGAAACCAAAACACATTTCATTACTCTCTCCCTGTTTGTGAAGTCAATCTTTCTGCCACAAAATGAAATTAGATTTTGATGGAGTATAGTATTGTGTAATGAGAAATACACCGGACTGGGAGTAAGAAGACAGTTCTAACCCTGGCCCCGCCTTTAACTATCTTCACAACCTTGATGGAATCAAGGACCTTTACTTACCTATCCAAATATTTTAAATGAGAAGGTTGAGTGACTTAGTAATCATAGATACTGGGTCATTTATGAACTTCACACCAGAATAAGTTTCTTTTAAATTAAATAATTCTCAAATTTCACCCTGCCTTCAGGCCAAGTTATTCTATTGCTCTTTCATTCATATATATTTTTTCATCCTATTTAAAGAGGAAGGGGAGTTAAAGGCAAATTAGGTTGTAAATGACACCACATGGACATGAAGCTAGAAATATCAACTGATCATTGTTTTGTTTGCACAGGTGGTTGGAGCCCACAGTGTGCCTTGACCCCAACTCACCAAGCAGGAGCCACATCTCCATAATCAGGGTTCCGCCAGGCATTAAACACAGTATGGCCATTCCTACGGGCAAACCAGAAAAATCTGTATTTGGAGAATATTTAAAGAAACAGTTTGGGTTAAGGACCCAGGGGTTGGACAAAAGGTGTGACCCAAGGAGGGACCGACAGCATGATTCATTGCCTCCAAGTGTGCACATCCTGGGAAAAGGCTGCAGGCCCTGACGGGGAAACCAGGAAGCTTTAGGGGTGAACACAAAAACAACAGCGCTGGTCATGGCTGTGACTTGGTTATAAGTTAACTTTATGGGTCCCTGAGTGTCTGGAAACAGACTATAAAAGAAGAAAGGGTGTCCCAAGCAGCTTTGTGTTGGAAATGGCTGTGACCAGTTGCTTCTGGAAGGGAGATGTGTTGACTGCAATAAAACTTGATGGGCTCAGCACTTGTCTGTTAAGGCTGGAATCGGAAGTAAACTTTGGACCTAAGTAATTGGTATGAAGCTGTGCTTAAGAGCAGCAGCAGAGGGGATTTTATTCCAAGCAGTAAACAATATGGTATTCAACTGATGCACAAGTTCTACCTTCTTGGTGACCTCTAATCCCACAATCCTATCGGCAGGCAGGTCTTCTAGCTTAATCCCATAGTTCAAACAAGTTCATACAATTTGACTTTCACTAATCTGACTTCATGAAAAAAAAAGTCTCCTTGTTCTTGGAATAGAAAAACTTTTACGGTAAAAATAAAACTGAGACTTGCTATCCTTAACTGTGCCTGTTTTGGGGGAAACAATGCATTAATTAATTAATTAATATTAACTCCTCTCAAACCATCAACTCTAGCTTTCTTCAGTTAGTCAACAATTAGTTATTAAGTACACACTTGCACAGATCGGATGTCATAAGTTGAAGGCAACAAATAAAACAAGATTATATTTAAGTTTATTCATCAGAAATATTTTGAAAAATACACACCATTTTTTTCACTTGATTTTTTTTTCATGGTTTGGGGAGACACATTTCAATTTTGATTTAAAGTATGATATAGAAAGGCATTGAACTGTATTTCGGGATGACAGGAGCTAATTGTAAATACCATGACCTATGGCTGTCTGGCAATCAGAACATAACATAACATCTCTGAGCCTCACGTTTGTTCATCTGAAAAATGAGAGAGGCTAAACTGGGTCATATTTTATATCACAAAGCTTAACTATAATAACAGCTCATGTTTACTGAGTCATGAATTTTGTATTCTTTATCAGTTTTTCATTATAGAAGCCCTGTAATATATAAATTATTTCCCCCACTTTTCAGATCAGGTAACTGGGCTTAGAGAGGTTTTGAAATTTGTCTGTGGTCACACAATAAGTGGCAGATCTGGCATTTGAACCTAGTTTTCCCCAGCTCCCAAGCTGTACTCACCCCTTTCATACTAATGAACTGCCTTAGAGTTCATCCAAAAAGGGAAACTTAATTTTTTTCCTCATATCAAATTTTCACTTTGACTTCCTTGGAGCTTCTCATAGAGATCACGCCTACATTAGTTACTATTCTCTGATCTTTAGAGAGTCTGCTGAAGCAGAAAAGGGCGGAAGCATCTACTTGGGGAGAGGGAGGTACTTCACTGACAGCCTGCCCACCCCTGTGAGGACTAAGTAGGAGGTTAGACTAGTGACCATGCCCCAGCATTCAGAATCCAGGCGGCAACAGCTTCCCCCAAAACTCCTAGCTAGGAGTGACAGGGGAACTCAGTGACATTCTCTCATACAATACATCCCTGAAACTAAGCCTGGCTTCTAAATCTTCCAGTCCTTTCCTAGTTACCATCATGCCATGTATAGCTAAGGAATAGCAATGAACCCTCTTGCTCAGGAAGCTGGAGTGTCCAGAACAGGGCATGGGGAAGCCCAGTTTGGTTTCTGATCTCCCCACATCTGAGGTCATTGCTTCTTCATAGGCACAACGTGTCTACATGTTCCATCAGATGAAGCACTGCTTACATAACATGCCAGGTGACTGAAGACTAGAAGTCCCTGGAATGAAATGATCTTGCTGATATAAACAGAATTTCCACAGGCCTTGGGGAATGTTTGGTTTCCACAATGTTTAAGACTAAAAATGGCCATTTATACAGCAAGGGACAATCATGGTGGAGAGATGGGTCACATAGTCCCTGTTCTGCAAAGCTCACTGTCTCCCAGGGCCAGCCAGAGCTCTTTCCTTCCCTGAAGCAACTCATGGGTGAGGCCAGTTATCCTAAGACCACCAAGATGAGAGAGGAAAGTATATTTTTTTTTGTTTTTATAGTACACAAATGATTAACATTTATTTAATGGATTAAGTAGAAATAATCCGTTGAGGAATGTCAACCTCAAGAAACTGCACATTTTTTGTCTTGAAAATACTGGAACTGTCAGAAACAATAAAAAATCTTACTCATTATCAAGAAAGAGGAAGCAATTAGACATATTCTCAAGAATAAAGTGGAAAATTTTAATTCTCCATTACTTGTTTATATTAGATTAATCTTGAGTCTGTATGGTGGATATAAATTACACTTCCTCCAATAAATTCAATTTTGCAGAAAAGATGTACTTCTCTTCTGGTCTATTTTTAGTTGCTTAAAAACTGCCCCACATTTTGCTGACCACACATATATTATAGAAACCCCCTGTCAGTTCCCTGAGGTGATAATTACTATTTGGGGAATCCCTCTGGAGGGATGAATGAACGTTCCAGTGGAAAGAACTCTGACTTCGATGCTCAGAGAGCGAGAATTGATTCCAGCTCTGCCCCCAACTAGATGTGAACTTACAGACAAATTACTTCACCTCTCTAGTTCTGTGCAAAGCAAGGGAGCAAAATTAGATATCTTTCTAAGATTTCTTCCAACTCTGAAACCCAGTCTTTGTCCAACTCTCATGAACAAAAGCAGGGATTCCTTGCAGTATGAGAATCCTGAATCGACTGGGAGGAATGGGAAAGAACACTCAGAACTGGAGGCTGAGCTTGGGACCCTGGAAACAAGTACATAAAAAGCAGGCAAGGGCCAAGGCTAATGCTTAATTCCCAGTAAATGCCCTGGGTAGATTACAGCTAAAAGGAGCTGCTTCTGGTTCCATCTGGAGCACACATTGAATACTGTTGCTGTGGGATTTTTGGGGTGTAACATTGAATAGACCCATTTATTGTCCTCTGATTCAGTTACAAATATTTTCATCAGAAAAAGGGCTGGTGCCTGGCTGGAGGGCTCAGTTGGTTGGAATATCATTCTGTCCACCAGGTTCGCCTCCTCGTCAGGGCACATACCCAGGTTGCTGGTTCGATATGTGTGGGAGGCAACAGATTAATGTTTGACTCTCACATCTCTCTCTCTCTCTCTCTCTCTCTCTCTCTCTCTCTCTCTCTCTCTCTCTCTCTCTCTCTCTTTTTTTCCAATAAAAACATGTCCTTGGGTAAACATGTTTTTTAAAAATTAAAAGAGCTAGTTAAAAATAAAAGCAGCAAGAAAGAGAAGTTCAATAAAGAATGATTCCTCTGGT